CCCAACCCCAAGGACCCCGACATCTACACCCTGCTGCCCCCAACCCTGAGGACGCCTGACACCTACATCCTGCCTCCCCCAACCCCAAGCCACCATGCCCTGGCTGCCGTTGAGGGGCCTTCGGGCACCCCATGGCGCGTCGGCTCCCAGAAAGAGCGAGGGTGGCCCAAGAGAAAGGACATAAGTTCGGACGCCGGTGCCCAGACAACTGGCGTTTAAGCTGAGCTGGAAAAGAGAAAATGAAATTATGGCAAACACGGCGGGTCCGAGGCGCACCGGTTACTCACCGGTGGTCACAGCTAAGAACATTTCCTAAGAATCCACGCGCAGCGCGGTAAGACTTACCTGAATTTGTAACTGCCTGATGCTACTTCGGCAGGTAACGCGGTTCAAATAACAGTGCTCGAAGCGCTCTGACCTGGGCTCTTCGACACAGGTGGCAGTGGAGGGCCTGGGAGTCACGGTTCTATGGAGGGTCTCAGACCCACGGGCTCATTCATTCTCAGCCGGCAGGTACCGCTTCCGTAAGCTGCCCAGGTCTGGTGGCGGTGTGAGGGCGTGAGGCAGGGCTTGCCCCGCTCCCAGGGAGGGAAGCCATCCAGCCCTCATGACGCAAACCGGCCCGCGGCGTCCTCAGGGCCGGGAGCGTGGGTGGAGCACGCCTTGCCTAACTGTGGGACCACCGTTGTTTCGACCAGACTCTCCCCAACAGACTCTGGATTTCCCGGTCCCCAACTTCCCCAGCGGTCTCCCGGAGGGTCTAGTCTCCTGTGGGAGACTGTGGTCCCCTCCCTGCAATCGGTGGGTGTCTTCTGTTTCCTCCAGGTCCAGCAATAGGATCCTGAGGCTGTCCTGTCCTCCAGCACCGAGAACAGCTCTCTCAGGGCCTTGTCCACACCCAAGTTGCTGGCAGAGGCCGGCTGCTGACCCGGCTGCCGACCTGGCTGCTGACCTGGCCGCTGACCTGGCCGCTGGACCTCGGGTCCTCAGACCCGGTGGGCAGCTCAGGCTGCCCCAGCCTGGAAGCAGGACTGTCACCTCCTCCATTCTGCCGGCCCTTGTCCCCTGTGGGCACTCAAAACACCAGACCCCTGTAGTCACCCACTTATGGGTCACCTCCTAGACAGCGTGGTCGCTGTGGTCGCTCCAGCGCCGGAGTCTGACCCTCCATCGTGCCGGCTTCAGACCACAGGCTCTGGTCCCTGTCGCCCACCCACGCCTGTGGGTGCCCTTCTCACCTCTGCTCTACTGAGCCTTGAGTCTTCGTCCCTCATCCCCTCAGCCATTCTTGCCTTCACTTCCTTCCCTGGGTGACACTCCAGTCCCTCTTTAATCGGCATCCTCAGTTCCTTTGAATCGAGGGGACGTGGCCACCCCCTATGTCAGATGGCCCAACTGTCAGCCTGGAACTTGTTCACCGTCCACCCTCTCTTCCCCCGGCTGCTGGAGGAAATGCTGCTGGCGGACTGGCCTCCCGGCTCAGCCGGGCCTCGGGGACCTCCGGCTCACACCTTCCATGCCGAAGGCCAGCTCCTCCTTCCTCGCCCAGTGACGAGGACTCCCACCGTCACTGCCATCCTCAAGCCATGTGGTCCCCGCCCCTCCCCGTCAGCCATCTGCTGCTGCTGCACCCAGCGTTCGGGCTCCCGGCCCCTGCCCCGCGGGTCCGCCCCCGCACTCGCTGGAATGTTCCTGCCACGATCAGCCAGGGAGTCAGCCCCTCCTGACCCTCTCGCCCTAGGCGTTGTCCGCTTCTGCTTCCCGGGGGTCCTGCTCCATCAATTACTCGCTCCTTGCCTCTTCCCGTCCTCCTCTCTCCCCCACCCACCCCGGTCCCCATTTTAGTTGGTCTGGGGCCCCGTCAACTCCGTCTCTTTAATACTTACTTGGACCACTTCCTCCCTCCATCCCCGCTGGCGCTGTCCTTTGTCAAGACCCAAATCATTTCTCGCCTGAGTGTTAGTGAGTTTCCTGATCTGTTCCCTGCTCCGGTCTCACAAGGGCCGTAGTCTCTGGGTGTGAACGAGACTACATGTGCCTGCTGCACACCCAACTGCTCCTGCTGCCTGGTGCAGAAAGCCCCGGGCCCTGTCCCCACCACACAGGACGCCGGGCGATCCAGCTCCCGTGGGCCTCACCAGTCCCGTTTCCTGAGGCTCCATCCTGTGTTTGTGTGTCAACCCTCCCTGGCCAGGTGTGGCTCTCAGAACGCATCCTGGCGGTTCACGCGTCCGAGGCGTGGTGCGTGCTGCTCCTCCTGGGGAAGTCCTGGCCCGTGTGGGGGACACAGTCCCATCTTTCCTCCCTCTGTCTCTTGGGTGCCTGCTTTCCCAGCGCCACCAGCAGAGGGTCACTCCTCTGTGCTGCCATATGCCGTGTACATGGGTGCCTGGGCGCAGCGTCTGTCACACCATGCCTCAAATGTTCGTTTGCATATGTGACTCCTCCTTTAGGCTGCTGGCTCCTCCAGTGTAGAAATGGGGGTTTTTGTGTACCCCTGCTTCTTGGCGCCCACTATTGGTAGTCCCTAAAAGCATGTTAACGAAGGCGTTTCCTTCATGAGCATCTTTCAGCTCTTCTTTGTGTTCTTCCTGTTTTCCCTGTTATTTACCTCGCCCGGGCTCCGAACGACATCATCCATCGTGGGTTTCCGGGCTGGAAGCCGCCGCCGTTAAATCTGTTTATATTTCTACCCAGGGACTCCGTGTTCGCCAGTCTCTCTCGCTACCGCTGCGTATCAGCGGCGTCTTGAGAAGTGGTCCGTCTTGGGTGAAAGATATTTACAAACAAGTACCATTTGCTATGAAACGTCCTTCGGGACCATAACCCGCTAAGAGACGATGCAGATTTCACAATCAGCGTGCTCCGGACGCGCTCCCTCCTCGCTGCTCCAGGAGGAATTTTGAACACTGCAGCGGGAGGTCAGCATCCGAGGGCTCCGTCTCATTTTGCTGCCGAGTCTGTGTGCGCTCGCACACAATTACAAAACGTTTTCTTCTACTTTTTTTTTTTAAAGCAGCCCAGCCTCTCCGAAGACGTCCATAGAGAAATACGAGCGGGCCTCTTCCCCACCTCCGTAGCCCACCTGGCTGATGTACAACCAGGACGCCTTCCGGGAGAACGAGGCTCCGGCGCACCCTCTGGAGGGCTGCGGATGCCTTTTCTGATCGGCTAAACCTTGGCACTTTCTTGGAGCAGGTGACAGCGTAAGCTGCAGCCCACAGTCAACGGAACGCGTGGACTGGGGCACACCTCTGCTGGCACACACTGGCGGCCGTTAAAGACGGAGGTGTGCGAGCCTGTTTAACGGCATGGAAAGCTATTTGCAATGGTTATGTGACAAGATCAGGGTACAAAATGGCACTGAACAGTCCTATTTAAGAAAAAAAAAAAACCCCAGATATGTACATGCATAGAAAGCAAGCCTAGAAATAGACAGGCCAACGTGTGTTTACCGCTGGGCGATGGGTGACGGTGCTTTTATATCCTCGTGGCCTGCCTGTGTTTTCAAATTTTCCAAAAGGAATCAGAGGAACAACAGCAGAGGTTACTAGTGACAAAGCCCCCACCGGCAACAGCACGTGGCTTCTCAGAACGTCGGCTTAGCTTTCCAGGTTCCCAGAACGCTCCCGAGTTTTCCATCGACCTGCCCAGGCCTAAGCGGCCGTCTTGGTGAGGGTGTACGGCAGTGCCAACGAGGAGGTGAGTCGAGAGGAGAGGGCTGGGGTGGGTCGGAGGGACTTAGTGATAAGCAGCAAAATGACGACAGGCTCGGGGACCTCCTGGACCTGACCTCGTGTGTGTCAGTGTCTTCAATAGAAGAAATGGCCCAGTGGCCACCCAAGCCTGTGCAGGGCCGCGGGTAGCCAGCCCACTGTGCCTGAGCCCTCTCCTCCCAGGGGAGATTTCATCAGATTTCCTGCCACGCTGATAGACAGGTGAGTAAGGCCTGGAGCCACTGTTGGACAGTCACTGCCAGGAGCCGAAGGCGGACACCCATCTGAGGTGGTCAGAACGAGTTGTCTCTTCTCGCAGGGTGCTAAGGAGACCCCGTGCTGTCTGTGGAGCCTCTGATGCGAGCCGTGTCGGGCGAACACCAACCCTCTGACTTCCCATTTTCGATAATGACCTCGGTGACAGTGTGACAAGGGCCTGAGGTTGACACTACACAGAAAAAGTAGCTCGAGCCAAAGGCAGGAGTTCACAGGGATGAGCCCATCAAGGGCTGTTGAGTTAATGTCGTTTTAACTTATTTCCAAAGGGGGAAGTAGGACTCTGTGCCCACGTCCTGCACGCCGCTCCCGTCCACCGTCCAGCATGTCCCCAAAGCACTGGGCCTCTTCCCAGGTGCAGGAGGTGTACGTGGATGCCTTGGCCTGGCCTTGGCCACTGTCCACCTCTTCCCTGACCCCTTCACACCTGCCGAGCCTCCCTGCTGTCCTAGGAGGCAGAGCCTGCTCCTGGCTCTCCATCCGGCCTCCCTCCTCCCTGTCTCTCTGTTTACACAAAACCCTAAAAACTGGCATTTCACAGCCTCAGGTCCTGAGCTGGAAGGGGCTGCATTCCCCACTGCTTGTTTACTTGCCTTTCTAATTCCTTTTCCTTCCTTCCTTCCTTCCTTCCTTCCTTCCTTCCTTCCTTCCTTCCTTCCTTCCTTCCTTCCTTCCTTCCTTTCAAAAATTACATATAATTATTGCAACAAATCTGCACCGTAGGTCGAATTTTCTGGCAAGGAAATTAAGGCTTAAAAGAAGACCAGTGACTCGTGTAAGGCCACACAGCCAGCATGTGGCAGAACAGAGACCTCCATGGCTGTGTTTGGCCCCAAAGGTCTCACAGTCCCACCACCCGCCCCACTGCTTTTTCCCACTGGAATTATTTGCGAAGCACCTGCTATGAGCCAGGCACCACACTAGGCATTTTCCGTAAGTTACCGCTACACTTCTCATGCATGTATTCATCCATCCATCCATCCATCCATCCATCCATCCATCCATCCATTCGAGGACGTCCTGTATGCTTCGTACAACGGCCTTTCAAGGCGAAAGAAGTGTCTTCTGGGAGCCCTTCGCGAGACAGCTATGGCTGGTGATATTTTGGATAAGTGCTCCCCACATTGCAAATGGAACCCTGCGTTTTGGTGAATGGAGAGATGGTCTAGAGGTCTAGAGACTTTGAGAATTCAGCTTCACTGTTTGCCCCATTTGCCCATGAAGGAGTATCTGACTTTCTGAAAGCTTCCCTCAACAGAAACGGGCCTTTGTCTCCTCCCCTGGTCTCAATGCCCTGGATGACGAGGGACACCCGGAAGCGTCCGAGTGAGACGGGGAGAAGAATCAGGAAAAGTGGAAGAAAAGATTCTACCCCCTTCTTGGGCAGAGGTGGGAGGGAGGGTGTGGGGGAAGCTTTGGATTGGACAAGAGAAAAGTTTTATGCACGTGTATTTATGTA